GTGGACTCTCAGACTGACGGGGATGCGGACACACAGTAGACTCGCAGATTGATGGATAGACAAACAAGCTGCTGGCTAGACAGAGGTGGAGACAGACACTTAGGAGATTCGGGGACCAGCGGCCAGACAGGTGGACAGGGTGTTCAGAAAGGACGGGCGGGCAGAAGACAGTAGATCCCATCTCTATCTTTGCTGTCCACACTTGTCTTGACCTCGACTGAGCCAGAACTTCACACCCACCCTTCCCATCCTCAAATCTCGGAGAAAAAAAAGCCCACAAAACACGGCTCCGCAGCCCCGCGGGCCCAGGCGGCCAGCGGCAGAACAGCAAGGGCTCGGCTTGGGCAGTCTCGGGCTCGCCCTGACTCTCTCCCTCTCTGGCTCCCTAGTCTGCTCGGCAGCTGGTGTGCGATGGGGGTGCATGTGTGCGGGTGAGACCGCTGCTGTCCCCCCTCTCTCCTTCTCCTGTCCCCCCCTTTCTCTCACAGGGCTGAGTGGTTGTGGCTGCTGTTCTCGGACAGAACTTCCTGCTCAAGAGTGCTAAACCTCACCGAGGGACCCTTGTTCCCGGCGCGTGACGGGCAGAGGCAGCACAGGATCTGCCTGAAGGTCCTCCTCATGTCCTGGTCCCGGAACGAGTAGATGATGGGGTTCACCAGGGAGTTGCACTCAGCCAGAACCAGGCAGTACTTCTCGTACTTCAGAACCTCGCAGGACTCGCAGTGCAGACCGTCCAGCAGCAGGACCACCAGGCCCGGGGTCCAGCAGATCACAAAGGCTCCTGCAAGAGGGACAGGGTGTGGATATGAGATTCCAAAGACAGCCAGGCGCAGCGCAGGACAGGGCACTAGACTGCCATCATACCCAGCTCCCCGCTGAACGGAAAATAAAGGAGAGTCAGAATCGGCTTGTTTCCAATGGTGTCGCAAAGCAGCTGGGAACTGGGGGCACCCAGGGATTGCTGTCTACTTTCTGGGACATGGATCAAATTCAGGGGTGTCCAGTTCTGGACACCTGGTCCAGTGGTTAAGATACGGAACTGTCACAGCA